CTCTCCACTGTATGCCCTTAAAGGAGCAAAGAGGCTTTCTCTTGGTCCGACTTGCCATGAAGGTCCTTGCACACATCCAGCATATCCTGTTGCAGCATCTCCATGTCTGTTCTTAGTCCAGCTTTTTATCTCTAGACATACCCTTTCCCTCCATGCCTTAAGTTGAACCTCTAACCCCAGGTTCCAGCCAGTTCTTTTGGAGCCCATTATTTGGGGGGGGGTATGTGGTCTTGTGTTTCTGAAATGTGTCTTTCCCTCCAACTGCCTCATCTGTGCTATTCCTTAGGGTCTCCATTGGTGGTAAGTCTGATTCTACAGTACTGTGGCTTATGATTCTAGGTGTCCACTCTGGCTCACTACATGAAACTGGGGGCTATACTTTCTGCCATGCAGTACAGTTTATATGGGGGAGGGTGCTAGATGAGCCTCAGGGTCTATAAAACCATGTGCAATTGGGGAGTCACACTTGGTTGGCTACATAAGTGGAAACGATGATGTTGACTTTGTGGATGCTGAGATTCTGCATTAAGTGGAGGCCTCTGTAAAGAAACTAGATGGGTGAGGGCACCTTACTGAGAATGAGGTCTTCCTAGGTCCTTCAAAGCCCAAGACTTGTTATGGGAAAGGGCTATTTCAAGAGAAGTGTTTACTTATTGGGAGTAGGCAATACATTTATGTGTTCACAATCCCGAGATTATCCCCCATTCACTTTGCACAGTAAGGGATTTGATGCTTATGAAGCCTCCACTCTGTGCCTGTGTCTGTACATTAGCAATGGGTAGCTTCATCACTGTGGGTGGTGGACCTACTTCTGTGAGGTGGTTTTTGCATTTCTAATTGGGCACAGTTTTCCCTCCTGCTGGCCTGTCCATAGACAGTCCCTAACTGCCATGTCAGAACCAGGCTGGCTTCTGCTCCAGATTATACTTTGCTTTGTCCCCACTGTCTGCCCAGGAAGCTGTGAAAGAGCTCCTTATATTCCTCTGTAGTTAATGATGGGGACTGAGCCCATTGATCTATAAACCCAGTGAAGATGAGTGCCCTTTACAAAAACTTGAGTTCTTTTCTGCAGGAAGGAGTGTTCTCCCGCCCCTTACTTCTTTGTTTTTGTTCCACCACCCTGGTTCCTTCTGTCTTGATGATCTCTCATACCTAGCTTCTGCTGGACCAAGGGCACTTTTCAGTCTGGGTCAGCCTCCAATTCATCAGACTTTTCTCAGAGTTTTCACTTGGGTTGAGGATGCTGATGGCAGAATGAATTTAGGGCTGAGGCTAAGTGTGTGGCTCTGACAGTACAAAAAAATTAACCTTAATATAGCATTTACCATACCATAGGTTAAAGTGTATTATCTTAATTATCTCCAGAAAAAGGAAGTCTTTTGACCACAACCAACACGGTTCTGTAAGGACGTTTCCAGCATTTTCTGATGTTGCTCTCTAAAAGACTTCACATATTTCAGTTTTTTTCCCCCCAGTGCTGGGGATCCATCTCAGAGTCTCACATGTGCTAGGCAAGCACTCTACTACCAAGCCATACCTCTAGTGCCAAATCTTTTGAATGGGGGGCTGGATGATAGGAAACTGGTGGGTAGGCCTGGGCCCTCACCATTTCTAGCCAGAGCACCGTCTGTCTGTCCAAGTGATTCTGTTGTTGGAAACAACAATGCCCCAAGGACTGCCCACGCAGAAGCCCTGTAGTACTGGGGATTGAACCCAACGGCTATTCTGCCACTGAGCAATATCCCCAGCTATTTCTGTTATTTTGAGACAGGATCTTGCTAAGATTCTCTGGGTGCTTGATCTTTGCATACTTAGGTCTCCATGACTAGCTCATTCCATACAGTATATGTGGCTTTGTTAACCGTTGCAAAATGACCCATGCGTAGCCATGTCACATATGCTATTTGCTAAACATTTTAGGGGTGGTTCCAGCTTATTTTTTTGTGATTTAATGCCTTTCAGATGTGGGAAGGAACTATCTGTGCTTCTGTTTATATGTGACCCATGACTCACAGGCAGTGGATTCTGTATTTCAGGGCCCCCTCCCCCTGCCATCAACATATTAGATTCCCTTATTAATGTATCATTCCGTCTGATGCTTCAGAATACAGGTAGGCTTTATAGATGATAAGACAGTATTTGGCTTATGTTTAATAGCCATCTCCTCCCTCTGCATTGTCTCCACAGCCTGAAAAAGGAACTCCTTGATTTCTTTCAAAAGATATGGTGACAGGTTTGCTTTTAAAGTGCTTGATCAGAGTCTGAGCCTTAATTCTGACCAGCCCCATCTGGGGTGGTGGCACCGCAATAGATCAGTGGAAGCTCAGTCTCTCCTCCTTGCTGTGCCAATCTGTTTCTGTGATGGCGGGTGGCAGCATGGTGTTAAATTTGGGGACCCCTGTTGGCTCCTCATGTCGGCTCGCATATGTCTGCAAGCATGGGGTATAGAGCGCAGTGGACCCCTGCAGAGTTCCCGACTGCCAGTGGCAAGTGGCCTCAGGTATGCTGGCTCTGTGGTGTCATGATCAAGGTGGGTTTATCTCCACCAGACCACCTGTTCCACTCAGGCTTCCTGATCCATCTATGTGGGACAGAGCTCAGAGCCAGAGGGGCAGATGGGAACCAAGGGCAATGGAGGGTCCAAATTTTATGCTATTATGACTTCCCTGAAAACCTTTCCCCCACTCCCTTTGCTAGGTAGAAAGTCTCAGCTTCCTTCCCAAATCACCTTTGAGGGCTGGCCAGATAGCTTAGCAGACTACAGTGCCTGCTTAGGCAGAGCACATTGGCCCGGTTTGATCCCAGGCATGCTGCGCCAGCCCCACCCCTGGGTCAAGCTGATATAGCTGTTGAGGCTGGGTGTGGTGGCTCACCCCTGTTATCCCAGCACTTGAGAGGCTGAAAACAGGAGAATCACTACGAGTCTGAACTATGTAGTGAGACCCTGTAGACCTGTAGACCCTGTACTAAATACATAGAAAGAAAGAGAGAAAGAGAGAAAGAGAGAAAGAGAGAAAGAAAGAGAAAGAGAGAAAGAAAGAAAGGAAAGAAAGAAAGAAAGAAAGAAAGAAACCAAATCACCTTTGGATCCCAACATCTAGTGTCCCACTTGCTTAAAAAGCCAGGACTGATTGGTGGCACTGTCCTAGGCCTTTGGGGTGGTGAAGGCAACACTGTCTTCATTGAAAGCAGTCAGTGTTCATTTTGTTTTTTTCTTAAGTTCTCTGTGTCTGTGTGCTTGGAATGAAACATCAACTTTTTTTTTTTTTTTTTTTTTTTTTTTTTTTTTCAATATTGGCTTTTTTCCTTCCTGCTTGATGTCTCCATTTATAACTTATTCTGCTGCTTAAATATAGATGTCTAAGTCCTCCTTCTTACCAGATTGTTTATATTTTTTAAAGCCTTCTGCTTATCTCTGGCTGCTCCCTCCTCTCTATATCCCACATGGGTGTCGGTTGCTCTTTTTCCCCTGCCTTCTCTTAGCTGGGATGTGTTTCAAATATGGTCTATCAAAATGTTCAGTGTTTCCCTCTTTTCTGCAATAGCTTTGACATCTGTTCTTGAATGCTAGCCCACGTTATTCTTTTGGGCTTGTTTGCCCAAGATTTGCTTTTATGCCAGAAATACTAAGAGTGCGGTGTGGTGGCATCTCTTCTCTTTCAGTCCCTTGTCCCCACCCTCATGTCTATGATTCCTAAGTTGACAGCACACTGGCTGTTTGTTCCAGGTCTCTGTCATCTTGTCTGGCTATGAGCCACCCAAAAATGGTACCAATGAGTTGTTCGTTTGTTTCCCAGGAGAGCTTGCAGGCCCATTGGGTTGTTTCCACCACAAAGGAAAGCCAGTGTCACTTTAGGTGGTGGGTAGGGAGGAACTCCCAACTATACCCTGGGTGTCAGTGAATGACCTCATTGGCCTTTCATCCTCTATTTACTAGGCCTTTGCTCTGCTCAACTTCAGGGTATTGGGTCCTGCCAAGGGGATACCAACTTGGAGCAGCCACTCTGAGTCCTACATGGAATGAGCTGCTGTCCTCAGTAACTGAATCCACTCAGTGAGACATCAGGTCTGTTGGCCGTGATGGCTGTGTGGCCTGTGCTCCTGCCATGAGTCTAGATCACCATCCCGGGCCCATCTGCCACAGGCTACTTTGGAATATCTCCTTCTGGCTGCTTCTCCTGGAACTTCCGAGTCAACTGAGAGTGTCAGTTACTATGTACAGCAGAATCCAGAGCCTACCATTCTGGCAGATCCTCTTCTGAGGACCTGGCCCTGGTGGTCCTCAGAGTCCAAGGCAAGTTAGACATTTTTGAGAATCACTGCTCTGCCAGGTGCTATGCTTCTAAAAAGTTTACAAGATATTGGGAATAATTATTCTTGTTATTTGCCTTTTAAATATCTCTCTTGTGAACTAATAATAACAGGTTAATAATCTTGAGCATGATGCCTGACCTAAAGTAAGCTTGTTGTGGTTGTCTAAAGTAACAGGCCTACATTCTGGTAGGACAGACAGCATGTTCATGTTATGCAGGGAACCATAACTAGAAGAATGGCTGGAAAGATACTGCCAAGAGCAGATACAGAGCAACTCCAGGGAAGATATCATGGAGACACTGGCTGGTGATTTTAGTAGGGGATTGTTTCTACTTTTGCCTTATAGGTAGTCATTTATATAGTGTGTGTAGTATATGACCTGGCCAGCTGAGCAAGTTTAACTTGTTTTAGCCAGTGCCTGTGTGGTGCATGTGGAGTGGATGAATTGCACTTGCTGTCCTTGCCGTTGTCCAGCCTTACTCTGTCCAAGCCTTTTTTTTTTTGGTATCGTGAATCGAACTCAGAACCTTGTGCTTGCCTCAGGCACTTGTGCTGCTCAGCTATATCCCTCCTCAAGCTTATTAAACCTCTAGGGTCCCAGAGTTCTACCCATATTCTCAAATACATACATGATCCCCATGGCAAAATGTACAATTATAATCTTAATCTTTTGTGTTTCTTCACAGAGAGAACTCGATGCCACCGCAACTGTATTGGCAAACCGGCAAGATGAGAGTGAACAGTCCAGAAAGAGGCTCATTGAGCAGAGCCGAGAGTTCAAGAAGAACACTCCAGAGGTGAGGTAGAGCTCTGCAACAGGCTCTTGGAGGGGTCTTGGCATCCTGGGGCATATTCAGAACATGTGTTGTAAGCATTTTGTATTTCATCAGACAAAGGCAGGTAAATTGCTTTTTTTCTTGTGTTATTGCAGCCCCATCAGAACAGATTGCATGTCCCCACATAGGCTGTGGAGACATCGTAGTTGATAGATTGTCTAGACATTTCAAAGCACCAGCTAATTCCACATGCAGATGTTGAGCAAGTTGAGTATATGAGAACGTATAGCCAGGTATGTAGGCGTGTTAGACCCTTAGGCTCTTCCCAGCCACTGACCTCTTAGACTTTAAAAGACATCATGGGGTCTGGGACCTTTAGGCCAGCTTCCCCAGTGCTGGGTAGCAGAGTGTCTGACACATATGTTTTCAAGGTTAACATCTTGCCAGTATTTCTTATAAAACAGACATCTCATCTGCTTTGGCCTTTTAAATGCCTCTTTCTTGAAATATGCTGTAAAGGGCACTGAGAATGTGCTCTTTATTGCTCTTGGTTTTTCTTATATGTGTGGAGAAGCTAGTGCTTAGAGTAGCTAGAGCAGCATCCTCCTAGCCTGTCTTCAGGGACCTTTGTTTCCTTCAGTTTTTGTTATAGATTTAGTAAGAAATGCAGAGCACCCAGCAAGCTCTAGAGAGGTATGCAGGTGTAGGAATTGCTGTCTGGGGGCACTGCTGATTTGACCTGTCAAGATTTTGTGCCCTGGGGCTCCCATCCATCCCACTGGGACATGAGTGGGTTGAAGCTGCCATAGGCCACTTAAGTATGGCTGTCAGTTCTTCCAGGTAGAGCAATGGAACAGCTCTGGAAGAAAAGCCACTTTCTGGATCAGATGCCCCTAGCTTGTGCTATAATATTCTTGAAAAGTTTTATTACACAAAATGCAGATAGGAAATTGGTTCATGGGGTGGCTGTCCTCTGTGTGGCTTTTAAAGAATGGCTTTGCCATGAGACAGGAGAAAACTAGAGATCCAGGACAGAACCTCCCCTGCTAGAGGGAGTCGTGGTTTCCTTGGCTCTCAGGCTTGCCTGTTTCCTTAGCCAACTCCCTTCATGTCCATCTTGTAGGTATCTCTTAGCCACGAGTACCATCCCATTAGCTGGTTGTTGTGTTTTCTCACAACTCTTCCCTTGGTGACCTTATGTCCAGGAAATTCCATAGCAAACAAGAAGGACCCAGACAGAAGATAAAAGACGCAGTCTGTCATGCTTCCTATAAAGGTGATGGAGCAAAGAGTTGCTTCTTGCACTTCCTCAGAGTCTAGAGTTATTGGCTAGTAACATAGAGATATCTTCTCCTCTGGCTTTCCATCCTGGCTATCCCCACATCCTGGGTTGATAGATGTTGATAGAACTGAGCCCTGTCCCTACAGTGGCACTTAAGCAGGCCTTATTCTGTAGAAACTAGGAACTAATTCACATGATTTGTGTTGAAGGCCATGCCAGTTACTCAAGGAAACCTAGCCTTATATTTTGCATCTTTACCTTTTCCTAATCCCAAGAAACAGAAGAAGCTTGAGTGGGAAGCAGCCAGCTGGTAAATGTCCGTGGGGGCATTTCTTTTCTGATCCTGTCTTTAGACTTTGTCTTCCATAGAGAAGGGGACCCTATGGTGAACCTAGAAAGAATGAAGGTATCTGTGTTCTGCTGGTTGAGCCTGTGCCAGTGCTCAAGGCTGGCATCTACTTGGCAACCTCCACTTTGGGGAGAGCCCTGTGGTGGGAATTTTCAGGAATTGTTGGGTGGGGGGAACCACTTGCAGACTCTGTGTGAAATTGAAGGCTGCTTAGTTAGAACTTTGCTCATGAGGTAAAAAAATAAACAACAACCACAAAACACCTTTGGTTTATAAGGAGGGAAGGCATCTCTTTCCTGTGAACATAGCATAGTCCTCTCCTGCCACCGGCCCATTGAAGACAATAGCCTGGACCAGGGCAGCCTGCAGAGTAGTTGGTTGTCTTCTTGCTGGTGTTGTGCCATGTATGTTAATTTATGATGAAAGCATCCCTGTCCTTTTTTTTTTTTTTTTTTTTAATCTGGGAGAGAGGACAGTTTCTGTAGAGTTCCTGTATGCAGGATTAGGCACCCTAAGAATTCAGAAAGGAGTAAAGCTTAGTCTTTAGCAAAGCTTGTTTTCCTAGACTGATTCTTCTCAAGGGTATCTGGGAAGACCTCCAGGTCAGGAGGGAAAAGCTGGGCCCACATGGGCAGATGGGCAGGGGCAGAAAGAGGACCTTGAAAGCCATGGAAGGGTTGTGTAACTAGGGTGTCCCATGTGGCCAGCCAAGACTGACAGGCATGAGAAGCCCCAGGCACCCAGAAGGGGTCTGAGATGGCTGGTGTCCTAAAGATTTTTTGTTTAGAATGAATGTTTTAAGTTTCAGGTTAATGTTTGTGTCTTTTTAAATCTAAAAATTGTGGTTAATTTGAAATATTACAGTTACTCTACAAATAAAGGTTTATTCATTTTCCTTGAGTTCGTAAGTGTCCATTTCAAAGAAAAGCCATTTAAATATTTTTTGTCTAAACATTCATTCCTTTTTTAAATTAATAATCACCTAATAGGTCCTGGAACATTTCTTGGGTCTATTTCTTTTCCTGTTTTACTGCAGGAGACTTATTAGCTGCTTGTTTTTAGGTAAAGTTTCAGTTTTGTCATCTATAAAAAAATGTAATACCAGGACCCAGCTCTGGATTGTTGTATGTATAGCCATGTGCATACATGTGTGTATGTTTGTCTATGTATGCCCACATTTATGTGAGTATAAGCATTCATGTGTAGAATGTGTGGATAGTTAAGTGTGTGTATGCATGCACATGCACATCTGTGTGTGAGGGCCCCCCACAGGCCTGGCACCTAGAGCCCAATGAGTATTTATTATTGGTATTAACTTTAAACATTCACTACATAATGTGTTAGAGACAGTTGAGTTTTACAGAGCCAGTTCAAGGACATTGAAAAAAGCTAGAACAAGTATAGGTAGTTTCAGCTTAAAGTATTCCCAGAGTTGGTTTATAATAACAGTTAATCATTTTACAAATATTTATGGAACACCTTCCATGTGCCAGATGGTTTGGCCCTGAGGAGAAAATCCTATCCCTCTTCTTAAAAGTTTCTTATCTTTCTCACCAGACAGTAGAACAGCGCGATGCTGCATGCCGAGTGTTGGGATCACATAGCTGGCATCTTCTGACTGTGTGCTTTCCCCACAGAACACTTATGGCCATGGTGAGAATGTTCTCTGGAGCAACCACAGATGGCTCAGTCACCCTCCATATAGAGGATAAACAATTCTCCCTTTTTGTTGTTGTTGCTGGGAACATAACTACCACAGAACTACATCTCTGGCTTTTCATTTTTTGTTACTGAGGTAGGATGTTGTTTAGTTGTCCAGGCTGGCTCCTGGAATTTGTGTTCCTCCAGACACAGTCTCCCAAGTAGCTGGGATTACAGGCATGCACCATTGCATGTGCTAATTCTGCTATTTAAGCCTGTCTGCCTTCTCTTTTTTCCTTTCCTCCTCATTTTTCTCTTTCTTTTCTCCCTGCCTCCTTGTACCCAGGGAGGGAGAAAATAGACAAGGGAGGAGGCACGGGCTCCAGAACTCTTGGGTGGATGACATATATCAGGGTCGGTCTGCCGGGCGCAGTAGCTGAGTCTTTGCCTCAAAATAATAAAAAGGATTTTTATGTAGCTCTGTGCAAAGGCCCTGAGTTCAATCCCCAGGACCAAGGGGGAAAAGGGGAAAGAAAAGAGAGGAAAGAAAGAAAGGAATTGTGTTTTGCAGTATTATCCAAAGTCCTGGCTTCTGATCTAAATGACAGTTTCTTAGCCTTCCACACAGAGTTGTTTTTCTGTTGCTTTGACCAAGGTGCTGTCTGAGCTCCTATTTCTGCCAGCATGATTCCAGTGGCCTCTTAGTGTTAGACACTTATGGATGGGCAAGACCACAAGCACTTGAAACCTTGAGTCACTTCTCATCGGGTATCACAAGGGAATAGCTTCAGGGTTTCATTCTTTTATCTAGAAATTGCTTTGTCTTGCTTTTCTATTTGGTTGTGGTGGACATTTGCTTTTCAGAGAAAAGTTTGGTTCCATTTTTGCCTCTTGGCTGGACTGAGACTCAAACCCAGGAAGTCTGGCTGCTGAGCCTGTGTTCTTAGCAGCTCTAAGAACAAGCATAGTTCTGTATCGCAGAACTATGAGATGAGATGTACAAACATAGTTCTGCATAGCAGTGGTCCTTAGGGTGGAGCCTCAGACACTGACTAAGTGAGGCTCACTGGCCCTGTGCAGGGAGTTACATGGGCAGAGTGGCTAGTGAGGTTGAGGACTGAGTGCCCCAGGGCACATGCCTTACTAGTCCTGTGACGTGTGCTTCGACTTGGAACTGTGCTGTTGGAGGGCGATGCTGGACTACTACACAAGTGCTCTTTGCCCAAGACCACTTTGCACAAGACCGAAAAGATTTTGGGCAACCTTTTCACTTTGTTCTGCTTCCATGATGTTCAGGAAGAACAATCTTTTGCTGAAGAAAAGGGAGGGAAAGTGGCATTCTGGCCAAACCGACATATGTCTCGATCATGTCAACATGTCCATTTCTGCCTCAGATTATTTCTGGGGTATTTGTTGGTAAGGCTTTCTTGGGTAGTTTTTTTTCTCTGGCAGTAGGCCATGCTGCTGCTGTGTGGAAAGCCCAGCTGCTCTGCAGGTTACTCCTTGATCATTTTTTCCTGGTGTATTTTTGCCTAAATGTCTTTTGCTTACTGGAGCATGAATCTACTGACGCCTTGTGTGTGGATTGCAGTTTGTGTCTGTGCTTCCTCCATCTGTCCTAATCGAGAGCATGTAATGACATTCTCATATCACCTTCCCTTACTCTTGGAGTCAGCAGCAGAGGTCAGCTCTTGTCCTGACTGAATGGGGCCAAGCTGCCTGGGGGTCAGGCTTAGTGGCACACCCCTT